TACCAGAAAGAGCTTTGTGGGGATCTTTTGGCCCAAAGCAGGCTAGCTGCTGATGTAGTCAGAAGACCACAGAGTAAGTTCTCCCGCCCCCGTACCTCCTGAGCACTGTGCGGGAGTCCCTGTGACTCACGCTTCCATGCTGCAGACCTTAGAGCGGGTGACCACATTTCCAAGGCTGAGGCAGGGCCAGCCCGTGCTCTCCCTCCTCCGCAGGCCAGAGACTTCTCCTTAACCTCAGACTTGCCCAGATCCAACCAGACAGGCAGCGGAGCACCTCGGAATCAATTCTCAAATCCTAGTGCGAGGAAGAGTTGCAGAGGCCTTAGAGATGGTTGGGTTCGGGGGTTCCCAAACCTGGCTGCACATTCAAATCACCTGGGAAATGAGGAGAAAAGTGCCCCTTCCATCTCCTCTTGAGTCTAATTCTCTAAGTCTGGAATAGGACCCAGAAATTCGTGTTTTTTATACTGTTAGGTGGTGACCACTGATCTAGTTTCAGACTTGAATCTTATTTGACTTAAAAATCATAAATGTATGTATTTACTTTATTTAAAAAAATATATATATATATTATAAAAAATATATATATATATTGAATTTTTTCAGAGAGGAAGGAAGAGGGATAGAGAATTAGAAACATTGATGAGAGAGAAACATCGATCAGCTGCCTCCTGCACGCCCACTACTGGGAATGTGCCCACAACCAAGGTATAATACATGCCCTTGACCGGGACCCTTCAGTCCGCATTATTTACTCTTTTTAATACAGAGAATTATAAAGACACCTCCCAAGCCCTCCACCCCCAACCCCCCTTTTCCATTTTTCCCTCCATCCAGTTGATGTAAAAAAATTAAAAGTAAAGAAGACATACAGTTGGCCAATATTTACATGAAAAGATGCTCAACATCACTAATCATCAGGGAAACGCAAGTCAAAACCACAATGAGATATCGCCTTATACCTGTCAGGATGGCTCTTATCAAAAAGAAAAAGCAAGTGTTGGTGAGGATGTGGAGAAAAGGGAAGTATCATGCACTGTTGGGAATGTAGTTGGTGCAACCACAGAAGGAAACAGTATGGAGGTTCCTCAAATATTAAAAATAGAACGGCCATATGACTTAGCAATTCCACGTTTAGTTATTTATCTGAAGAAAATGAAAACACTGCTTTGAAAAGATATCTGCACTCTCATGTTCAGTGCAGCATTATTTACAATAGCCAGGACATGGAAACAACCCAAGGTTCCGTCAATAGGGGAATGGATAAAGAAAACGTGGTATATAAATACGGAATATTGTTAAAAATAATGAAATATTGCCATTTGCAACAACATGGGTAGACCTTTAGGGCATTATGCTACGTGAAATTAGGCAGAGAAAGAGAAATACCATATCATCTTACCTATAAGTGGAATATGAAGTAAAATAAAACTGGAGCTCATAGATTCAGTTAACAGATTGGTGGTCACCAGAAGCAGGTGATAGGGGCTGGGTGAAATGGGTGAAGGGGGTAAAAGGTACAAACTTCCAATTATAAAATCAATCAATCATAAGGATGTAATGTGCTGCATGGTGACTACAGTTAATAATACTGTATTGCATATTTGAACATTGCTGAGAGTAAATCTTAGAAGTTATCATCTTAACAAGAAAAAACATTTTTAACTCTGTGTGGTGATGCTAACTAGACATATTGTGGTGATCATTTTGCAATATATATATATAAATTCAAATCATTATGTTATGCACCCCAAAGTAATATAATGTTATATGTCACTTATACTTTGATTTTATAAAAGAACAAAAAAATCCAGAAAAGAAAGAAAATGGGGTTGCTTCTTTGACAATATCAAATTCTTCAGCCCTGGGGATTCTTCATCTATGCTGCTTCCAGTGACTAGAAAACTTATGTCCATCCCCATGAATCTTAGAATATTCTAAACAATTAGCAGAACACCAATTGTTATTGGTGTTCTATAAACACCAATAACAATTGCAATAAATTTTCAGTAATTTCAAAAGAAGCAATTCATGCTCATGTTTAGAAAATTCACACTGTAAAGACATGAAGAATGAAAAGCAAAAACTTCCAGTCCCAGTGTAATACTCAAAAGCAATCACTATTAACACTCATAAAAGAGATTTTGCTCGTAAAAGATTTTTCATTTTTATACCCTTACCTATCTACTTAATTCTATGAAATCCAAACCAAAGGAATGATCCTATTCATATTATCCTGCGCTTAATTTCCCCCCACAGACCATCATTATTTTTAATCACTGTTAAATAAGTTAATATTGTAACATATTGGAACAATGCCTGGTGTGTAACAAGCATTTCATATTTGCTAAATGAAGGAATGAAATTGCAGTATGGTATTCCATTATATGGATATACCCTACTTTATTTTACTATTTATGGACACTTGGTTGGTTGCTATAACAAACGATACAGAAATAAACATTCTTGTATGTACATCTTGGGGGCTCTATAATCAGTAGCAAAGTATGGTAATCAGTACTGTACTTAGAGTGGCAACAGTGGGCATGGAGCCAAAGGGACTAGAAAGGAAAAGTTACTAATTACATAAAAGCAGGAAATAGGACTGGAATTGGGAATTTTGTCTGGGACCCAGAATCACCAGGATTAAAGACCTTAGATCTATCTGACTGCTATTGCTCAGTTTATGAGTGTAGACCCATGAACCAGAAGGTCAGCGATCAGGGCACATGCCGGGTTTTGGGCTTAATCCCCAGTGAGGGGCATGCAGGAAGCAGCCGATCAATGATTCTCTTTCATCATTGATGTTTCTCTCCCTCTCTCTCTCTCTCCCTTCCTCTCTCTATAGTCAATGAAGTGAAATGAAATGAAATAAAATAGATCTTATATCTAAAAGGAACCTTGGGCCGGGACCGGTTTGGCTCAATGGATGGAGCGTCTGCTTGGGGACTGGAGGGTCCCAGGTTCGATTCCAGTCAAGGGCATGTACCTTGGTTGCGGGCATATCCCCGGTAGGGGGTATGCAAAAGGCAGCTGATCGATGACTCTCTCTCATCGATGTTTCTGGCTCTCTATTTCTCTCCCTTCCTCTCTGTACAAAATCAATAAAATATATTAAAATAAATAAATAAATAAAAGGAACCTTGGGAGGTTGTTTATACAAGCCTCTGGGCAGGGAATGTGGCTCCCAAGCTGTGCACTGGGCCCTGGGGAGCCACAGTGAATGCACTGGAAAGTTGGCTGAATAGGGATTGCAAGATCTTTAATATTTTTGACAAGAATAGTGATATTTGACATCTCTCAGACTCTGTGTAAACTACTGGCTCAAGAGAGCTTACCGTTTAACATTAATCCTACTACATTCCTTTTGATTATCCTATAATTTGTGGAACTGAGCTTTGGGTGGTTGCTATGATACAGCAAATACTGCACACCAATGAATGCAGACTAGGAAGTGAGCACCTCGTTGTCCAGTCTGACTCTGAAGTTTAAAAAACTGTGCAGAGTCCAAATGTTGCACACATGCCATTACTCAGTAACTACTTAAGAATTAAAAACATATTTTTTTCTTTCAATTTGTGTCTATTATTTTTTTCAAATAGTTACTATTTTAGTTCCGACATAAATGCTTATTAAGTTTCTTGAACTTAACTACATAATAAACAGAACTGCTAGCTATTTCTTTGGGCCTGGAGTGCTATCAGGAGATTACTAAGACATTAAGGGCGCTGTGAATCGAAAACGTTTGGGAACAACTGGTTTATATATTTTATCCATCAGAACTCTTTTAGCTCCAAATCAGAGAAACCAAGCTGGCAATGCTTAAGCAAAACCCAGAAACCATCCTATATAATAAAAGGCTAATATGCAAATTGACCAAACAGTGGAATGACCGGTAGCTATGATGCACACTGACCACCAGGGCCAGATGCTTAACATAGGAGCTGCCCCTGGTGGTCAGTGTGTTCCCACAGGGGGAGTGCTGCTCAGCCAGAAATGGACTCACAGTGCTAAGGATGTCTGACTGATGGCTTAGGCCCATGGGAAGTGGGCGTAAACTGTCAGTCTGACATCCCCCAAGGGCTCCCGGACTGCAAGAGGGGGAGGCCAGGCTGAGGGCTCCCCCCTCCCCAGTGCACGAATTTTGTGCACTGAGCCTCTAGTTGGTTTATAATCTGGGATGTCTTGTTTTGCAGATGGTGTCAGACTGGGCTGGATTATTCAAAACAGGCAGCTCTATTTTTCTTTCCACATATGGGCAAGATAGCCCACACCCGCCCTTCCAGACTCACACCCTTCAGTTTAACATCCCAGAAGAAAGGGTCATCTTTTCCAACAGCTTGTGCATAGGAGCCCTGAGAGGACTTTGGTCGATCTGGCCTGGGTTGCCCACTATGAATTGAGGCTATGGAGATTTTTAATGACCAAGCCCAAGTCACATATCCACCCCTGTGCTAAGCGAGCACACTAAGACATGGAGTGTGTAGGTTCTTCACAGAAAAGAGGGGGTTCTGTTACCAGGGGAATGGGAGAAGGGACCAAAAGCAATGAATCTCCCATTTTATAGAAGAAATACACTGGGAATTTGGGTGGTTTAATAGTTAAACATCGAGGTGCTGTAATCCCACCCAGTTGGCTTCACTTCCTCGGGCAAATTAGCTATATCTACACTTTGTAAGGCTTTAGAGTCCTCATCTTTAAAATGGGAATAACTGCAGGTAAAGGCCAACATACAAAAAAGCCCCAAGGGTCTCCACCCCCTAGGGTTGGTGGTTGAAGTGAGAACTATGTAAATTAGTGCCTGTAAGTGCCTAGCACAGCGCCTGGCACCCAGGAAGCCCTCGGTGAATGAGGCCATTGTTATTATTGATCAAGCAACTTTAAAGATCACACAGCTCGTAAGTGACTCAAGTTTCTGACTCTTGGAGCAGGTTTTCTCCCCACCAGGGAGGCAGGGAGAAGGTGCCAAAGAGTGATTTCCCCTTCGCTGTCTGTTACAGAGTGACGCAGCATGGATGCCGGCAGCGAGGTCCCCGCGGAGGCTGTGCTTCCCAAGCACATCCTGGATGTCTGGGTCATTGTCCTCATCATCCTGGCCACCATCGTCATCATGACTTCCTTGTTGCTGTGCCCGGCCACTGCGGTCATCATCTATCGCATGAGGACTCATCCTGTCCTCAACGGGGCTGTCTGAGAGCCTGCCACGAGGGGGCAGGGGAGGGATGAGGGTAGCATCCCCTCCCCCAGGCTCCTCCCCTTTCTCAGAGAAGCAGAAGGAGGGACTTTGGAGGAGAGACTCTGAAGCTTGATACGGGAGGGGAGACCTGAGTTCTGGTTTTGATTCTGCCACTGGCCAGCTGCGTGCGTTCCGCTGGGGGACCTAGTTCTGTGAGCTCCAGGTTCCTTATCTTTCACATGGGGACTGCGGCCCCTGCCCTTCCTACCTCATATGGTTGTGAGAATCCATGACGTTGTGGTGGGGGTTGAGGCTGTTTGTGAGCAACGAAGCCAACCCCGGTACACAGGGGTTACTGCTGGATGCTGAGAAGCTCAGAAGAACCAAAGAACCCAATTACTGATGTGGCCTTCAAGATGGCAAGGGAGACAGTGGGGCCAGAGCAGCCTTTGTCAGTGCCCCTCAGCTCAAACCACACAAAGGCACTCTGTCCTCATTCCAAGGAGCCAGCCGTGCACTGGCTCAAAGGGATTTTCTTTCATGTGCCACTCCTTCAAGTTTTCTGATTTGGGAGGGAATTCATCATGGCCGCTGGGGGAGGGGGGGTAAAGGGGAGAACTTTCCAGGACTTGGTCTATGCCAGAATCTCTCCTTCTACAATCTGGAGGAGGGCTCTGCCACGTCCTGGCAATGCCAAGGGAGTTGGGGCAACTCCTTCTTTCTACTCTGGAGTCTCTTAGCTTGGACTCTCTAGCAATGTTGGAAAATGCAGGGTAGTCGAGTTCCCGGCCAGCTTTCAGCATCTCCAGTCCCCAGCTCCTCGTGTCCCCCTCACCCCCAATCCTGCTAGATTTAGCTCTGTGGTATATGTACCCCCTTCATTCACTCACACCAGCACTGCAAACAATCCAAGGTACTGACTAATGTGTTAATAGCTGTTCCCAGGACTTTGGAAACTAGCTCAAAACAATGATGGTTATTTTAGATGCTATGATTTATATTTATATAAAGAGATTTCTGGACCACTCAAGCTTTTTGACCCAAATCAGGAGCCTCATTGGACGTGCAAATTATATAAAAAGATAGCACAGATATCAGGATATTATTGTGTGGAAATGACGCTTTTAGTTTGATCTAATCTCATTGGTGTACACAACCAACTTCTAATAAAGTGCTAGAACAAGCATGGCTGAGGTCTTTCTTTAAAGAGAACATATTAAACTTAGGAACTTGGGTCAAAGGACTCCACTGAATTTATGGATATAATCTGGGATGTCTTGGTTTGCAGATGGTGTCAGACTGGGCTGGATTATTCAAAACACAGAGACACAGTTTGAATGCAGGAATAGAATTGGAAAGAGAAGAATCAAATAGATTTCTAGGGTTCTAGCTTTGGCAGGTCTGTTCGTTGGGATAGATCTCATGGTTGGAGATGGGTTTTGGGGGGTCACCTGCACAGGGCAGATATGGCACAAAACTGGACAGGAACACCCAGGAAGAGGGTAAGACTGAGGCGGGGGAGATGGTAAATGCAGGACTTGGAGACCACTACATAGTAATGGAAAGGGTCTAGAGAGAACAAAGCAAAGCCAGGAGATTGAGAAGGCCAGGTGGTAAGAGGTGTATGAGGGATCATATCGTACTCTGAGAATTAAGGAACAAGTGGGAGCACAGACAACTCTTCTCGGGAACAGGACTGTTGCACAGAGGCAGGAGTTAGAAGAGGGAATTGGGACAAGTGGTCCACGGTATGAGGTGCCTGCCAGCATAAGATGGCACAGTGGTTTACAGCAACTTTTTCTTATGAGTGGAGAGGACACTCTAAAGGTTCCAGACCCTTTCATTCCCTCAGGGACACACTGATTCAACAACACACAGACCAATTCCATTTCTGAGGAACTTTACGATCCACTCTGAGGATCCTGTACCCAGTGTGAGTGCAAAGCCAGCTGTCTTGCAGCTGGTTGGAACATCTGTGGCTCCGTCTTGCCATAATCCCTCCCCCGAGCACAGCGGCACATGGCTACAAGGAAACCCTCAGCTCCCAGCTTCTCCCTGGGGAGGAAGGGAGAGGAGTGGACCAACAACACTCAACATTCTGACCTATTTAGGGGCTGCAGGGGGGTGGGGGGATGTGGAGGAGAGAGAGAGCTGGTTTCTGTCTTGCCTGAATCTAAGCACTTGACAGGAAAGGACCTCAAGTTGGGAGCCACTGAGAACTAAAGCAACAGTTTGGACTAATACACACTCATTTTCTTTTTGGCTAGCCATACATTTTAGGCCTTACTTTAATTTTGTTTAATTAAAGTAAGTTCTGAAGGCAGTAATAATCTGGAAGTTGCCATGTTTGTACCAGGCAAATAGGCCTTCATGTAGCCCAGTGGGCAAACGGGCGGGTATTGCTAAAGAACTCCACTGAATCACTGCTCTTTGGACAGTTTAATCTTGACTCTCCTGCCCCCAATAACACACTACAAAAGAACTTAAAGCACCAGAACCAGTCACAGAGACCAGCCAGGTGAGACCTTGAGTCATATTGCTGGTGACTCACAGCAGAGGCACCTGTCCAATACATTCAGAAGATGACAGTCTCTGGGGAAATAACATGATGTTACTACATGGGTTTTAAAAATCAATACGGAGGATGTGGCTGGTGTGTGGGGCACTCTGGGCCTGGGCCCTGCCCTTGATGTGGTCCTTGGGGGTGAGGGCCTGCAGTGGGGCTGGGGACGTTGCCTACACTCAGAGCGGGAGCCCAGTGCCCGGCACCTGCGAGTACTTTTACTACGTGGACCACTAGGGCCAGCTTTTCCTGGATGACTCCAAAATTAAGAACTTCATCACCTCTTTCAAAGAGAGAGATGAAGGGAGAGGGAGAGAAAGAGAAACATCCATCAGCTGCCTCCTGCATGCACCCCAACTGGGGATGGAATCTGAAACCTGGGCACGTGCCCTAATGGAATCGAATTGGCAACCTTTTGGTAAATGAGACGACGCTCCACTCAGTGAGCCTCACCGGCCACAACAGCAGTGTGGACACAGACCTACTTCCTGATTTACCTAGTCAAATAGTTCACCTCGGCGGGATCATACAATGTATGACTTCCTGTGTCTGATTTTTTAAACTTAGCACCATGTTTTTGAGGTTCATATGGTGGTTTGTTTGGTTTTTTTTTTAAAGATTTTTTAAAAATATATATTTTAATTATTTTTTACAGAGAGGAAGAGAGAGGAATAGAGAGTTAGAAACATCGATGAGAGAGAATCATTGATCAGCTGCCTCTTGCACATCCCCTACTGGGGATGTGCCTGCAACCAAGGTACATGCCCTTGCCCGGAATCGAACCCGGGACCTTTCAGTCCGCAGACCGACGCTCTACCACTGAGCCAAACCGGTTTCGGCTCATATGGTGGTTTTAACAACAATCACCACTACGATGATAATGATTAGGATTAGAATGACTGAACAGCAGCAAATTCTGAAATTGCAGCGCATGTGATTCTGCTGTGCGGGAACACAAATACTCCCTTAGTGGGAGCCCTGGACTATACTCTTTCCCGGGCAGTCGGTGTTCATGCTTGGACTCTTAGCCCACGGGGGCTCAGGAAACCAGGGTTTGTGCACTGCCTCTCCTTTCTTCACCCTAGAACCCCCTGTCACTGTATCCGCTATGGTGCTACTCCTCGTGAGAGAAGGTTTATAGACGGGGACCCCACAGGTAGGTGTGCTGCGTGTGGGAAGTGAAGGGGACGCTTACCTTCTGTAGTGACAAAAGCCCAGGAGACACGCCTCATACTTGTCCGCGTCATGTGGCCTTTTAGGAGAGATGTCCTTGATTGCAGGAATCGCCTCCATTGACTTAAATCCTTCTTGACAGCATTTCTTCAGAATTCGGAACACCAGGTTGTTCAGGATCCTTGAGACGTCCTCTTCCGTGAATTCTGTAACGTCAGATGGAGGCTCAGAGCACCTCTGACATCTCTGGGCAAAGATGCTCATCTTCACTGGCCCGTGGTTTCCCTCTTACTCGAGTGCATGTGGAAAAGGGCTTACACGTGGGCAGAGGCCCACCGGCGAGAGCACCAGGTGCTTGTGAACCTGTGGAGGCAGAAAACGAGGCCCTCAGCTTTGACTGAACCGTGGGCTGTGCCAGAGTGAACGTTACAGGGACACGGCTGATTGGGGTCCTGGATCAGTGGGGGAAGAAGTGACCAAGTCCCTCGTTTCAAGTCCCACTGTGTGCCAATAAGCTCGTGACTCACAGGTGCCTATCATGACGACAGCGGGTCCCATGCTCTCAGAACCGATGGTATCTCGGGCAGCTTCTAAGTCCCGTGGCGTCATGTGAGAGATGAGGCTCGCACCGGGAACTTGTCTGGCCCAGGGACTCATGCGTGTAACAGGCAGGGCGTGAACGGTTTCCTGACTCCAAACAAAGGCTTCTCCGAATGTAGATTGAATTGGGTCAAAGGCTACAAGGGAAGCAGCTGCCATCCAATCAGCCCCGACCCACAATTAAATACAGGTGGGTGTTGATATATCTGGGATGTTAACGCTTGCAACCTCCCTGCAGGGTAATAGAATGACATAGCCACAGTTACAGATGCACAGAGGGCCCGGCAGCCTCCTGGGTTCGTGAAAATGGGGACCACACACATCAGCAGCATTCTGAGTCCCCATCCAGCTCTGTTCCATCCCAGCTGAGGGGAGCGCCTGACTCTGATCTGTGAAATGGGAATGATGTGCTGGGCTGGCTCCCAGTGGGAAATGGCTGGACAGCAGGGATGACTCTTACCTTCTGCAGTAACAGGAACGAGCCAGCAGAGGGCGGGAGCAGAGGATAACATCCGGGGACCCTTCAGCAGGGCCTTCCAGGGACTGCACAGGCCCCTCTGGACCTCTTGCATGGACTCTGGACGGGCTACTGCTCTCCTGTCTCCTTTTCAATCCCAGCAGTTACTGTCCCAGGAGGAAAGAGATGGCACGTGCAAAGGATTTTCTAGAAGGACTTTGGAAGAGGAGCTGTTGACAGGTGTGAGAGCAGGGGCAGACAGCCAACCAGGGAGGTGGCACCCTGGAAACAGAGACCATGCAAGGTCTCGAGGGGGCAAGGAACACAGGATCACGCGAGAGTTGGCACGTGAACAAAAGGGCAGGGCCACGTGGTCACGAGAGTGGGGGGAGTGCCCACCTGGTATCTGCACCCCAAGGGCTCAACCCACCTGTCCCTCCCAGACTGGTTTGAGGACCCTGGGGGTGCAGGCAGGACCTGGGGGACTAGTGATAGGCTGGGGCCCTGGGCTCAGCAGGTCCCTGGAGCTGCAGGGGAGCGCTGAGGGTGCTGTGTGCTGAATGGGGCTCCAGGGGAGGAGAGGTGCTGCCTCGGAGGTGGGGCGGCATCAGGGACTTGGAGCAGGAGGCACTGGGGCAGAGCCAGGTCTCACAGAGCGAATGCAGGAAGGCAGCCAGTTTGCAGACCCTGAATCAATTTCTTTTCGAGCTAAAACACAATCTGCCAGGGGAGGCAGGAGGCGGATGCCAGACACAGGAAAAATAATGATATTTTGTAATCTAAGCCACAGATGGCGAGGGGAGGCGCAGTGTTCTCCACACAAGGCCCTTGCCCCAATGCAGCGGGACTCCACCGAGGTTACCAGCTGGGAGGGACCGTGGGACAAAGAGAGCAGCCGCCCAGAGGCGCTGGTGCAACGACAGGACCCCTGTCCGCTGGGAATGGAGGAGGAGGAAGGGGGGAAGGAGCAAGCCCATCAGAGCAAATGGCCACAGAGTGAGGGGCTGCTGACCCAGAGGTCACAGGTGAAGGAGACACAGGCTGTGGGCAGCCGGGTTTCCATTTTTAGTTCTGCCCTTTTACTGCTGTGTGTCCTTGAGGAAGTCCTCGCCCTCTCTGTGCTGCAGTAGCCTCACCTGTACAATGGGCCACAGCTGCTCCTCACAGGAGTGTGGGGTGTTTGTGTGTGTGCCCCACTTGCCCTGAGGGCATTCTGCTTCCTAATCAGCACCCCCGCCTCACCACCCTTCCCTCCCCTGGCCTTCCAGGGACTGCACAGGCCCCTCTGGACCCCTTGCATGGACTCTGGACGGGCCACTGCTCTCCTGTCCCCTTTTCAATCCTGGCTGTCACAGTCCCAGCAGGAAAGAGATGGCACGTGCAAACGATTT